GATTGCAGTGGAAGCTTTACATGTCTTGAAAACATTTTTTAATTTCACAGTAAAACTAAAGCTAAAATAAATTCGGAACATATAGATAGTATGTAGTGACGGATCCAGGAGGGGGGTCCGGGGCCGGGGGTTGGAACCCCCCCCCTTTTTTATCCTTGGTTGAACCCAACCCCCCCCCCTTATCCTGGGTTGTAACCCCCATTTTAAAAATGGTTGGACCCGCCCCTGGTATGTCCGCATAGAGTAGTCTAGCGGATAGTCATTAAAAAGCAACTACCAATAGATCAAAGATACTAAGGTTTATGTTTTTTTTTTTTTTATTTCAAAGTAAAAACTAAAAGATTTATCAGAACATGTATAGATATATAGATATATATATATATATATCCATTTTGTTAGATCTGGTGATCAATTTATTTGGCAATCACCATTGGCAGTCAGCAGGGTTTAAAAACATCAGCGACACTTTTCACAAAAAACCTTACGATTAAAATTGATCGTAAGTTATACTGAAATGTGTATTACTTACGAGTATTTTTACTCTTAAGATTTTTTGTGAAAAGGACCTCTGTTGTTCGACCTGTTAGTCAAATGCGTTTTGTTAAAATAGACTTTTTCACTTTTTTTGGTCTTTTGGAAATTGTTGTTTGTGCTGTATTTAGACCCCTCTACCAAGCAATTTGTTTTACATGCACACGTATAAAAATTGAGGTTTTTATCCAACGCAATCATTGGTTTGAACGTTGTTTTCAATTTAGACTTTTATATATATATATATATACAGTCCGCCAAAAGTTAAGCACCACCTATTTTTATTGCATCGATTTTTTTTTCATTTTAAAACAATCAGTTAATCCTCGAAAAAGAGAACACATTCAAGTAGCAATTTTGCTAACATATACCATAAACAAACCATAACTTAAGTTTGATCACTTATGCAGGTTCTATGCATTTAAATTTTGTGTTCATAGAAATAGTGCAAATTACACAAATCAGAAACGGAATTTAAGTTTCACTGTGATTTTATTTTTTTACAACAATAAATCAGTCAATATCATTAAAATTCTCTACAAATAATCTTTGGTATGTTTGGCAAATTTAATGTCAATATTTGAGTCAATAGGATGTTTAACCACCTCTCTTCCTGTACAGTTCCATAACACGGCGTCTCATACTCTGTACAAGCCTTCTGAACTTTAGTTGAGGAAATCTATTCCATTCATCAACAATTGCCACTCTTAAATCGCCAAGATTTTGCAAAGGTGGATCTCTGCGATTGAGATTTCTGCCAATGGCATCCCAGACATGTTCGATAGGATTCATGTCTGGAGACATGGAAGGCCAAAAGATAGTGTCAACGGCTTCTTGCTCTTTGTACTCGGTTACAATCCTTGCCCTGTGTGTTCCAGCGTTGTCGTCAATGTACAAGGGTCTTGACGCAAGTGGGTGATTATCAAAATGAGGGACTACAATGTTTCTAAGCACCAAATCTGTGTGTCTGTCCGTTCATGTTACCCTGCAGAATATGACTACCCAGCTTACAACGGTATGAGAAGCAACCCCATACTGTAACACCGCCAGCACTGAATGCAGTCGTTGGGCAAATGTTGTTTTGGTCATAGGCAGTTATATTTTCCCGCCAAACTCGTATTCTGCCGTCTACTGGTCGTAACAGAAACCGACTTTCATCTGACCAATGAATTTTTCTTGCTTCTCATGTTACAGCGTCCATGATCATTAGCCCATTGAAACCTGATTATAAGGTGCCTGGCTGTTACGGCGTTCTCTTAGGTTGCCTCTATGAAGTCGACGGACCAATGTTCGAACATTAACACGACCACCTGGAGGCCAGTGGTGTCTTAAGCAGCGGGGCAGGAGTAAATGGGTTGGCTTTAGCACGACGAATAAGCAGACTGTCATCACGACGGGTAGTTATTGGGGGTCTTCCGGACCTTGGTCTATCATTTACAGTTCCTGTGTCAACATGACGTTGTAAAAGTTTGACAATGACGGTGTGATTAACATTGAAATGGTTACCTATGCTCCTAGTGCACCTACCGGCATTTGACATGCCAATTGCTTGCCAACATACGCCTTGCCATATTACACAATGACTTGATGAAGGTCAAATTTCACCTGTACGCGGTACAGTAGGAAGATGATTTAAAGGTATCGAAACAGTGTATTTGTAAAAGTGCAGATGACCTTTAATAAAAAGTTACTTGACGGGTTTATCGGAGTTTAATCTTTTTGGTCGCAATGAATTTTCTTAGTGTATGTTAAAGGCAATTCATAACACCAAACATAAATAATTTTTTCGCAATTGTTCAAAAAATATTGCCAGTTATATTTAGGTGGTGCTTAACTTTTGACGGACTGTATATATAGGTGGCACATTCTTTTCAGACATTATCACGGTTTTTCAATGCATGATATCGTTCTGAACATGCATGAAATATTTGCCACTGGACATTTAGCAACCAATAATCAATCAATCAATCAATTCATGACGAAATAGATCAAGTTGCCTTAATTTCCCTTTACTAGGTTTCATAGTACACAATTTTTTGTGTACAAAGCAATTGCATGGATGATAAATTATCACAATTTTAAGATGGCGTTTTACTCTAATCAAGGTATAAAGAACCATATGTGTTACACTTTATCTAAACGAGAGAAACTTGCAATCGTCAAAAACATTTTTTAGATCCAAAGATTTTAATAGCAGGATATTCAAAAATCAACGTGAAAACTAATTACAAACTATTTGATTTAATTTGGAGCACAGCATTTTATTTCAAAATAGCCAGTGGCAGTTTTCATGTTTTAATATCTTGATTACGATACAATGAAATCTTACCCTTGTGGTCCTTCATGCGTAGTTACTTAGTACACGGAAAAAGTATGTACTATGAAAATTAGAAGGCAAATTCAACCATTTGATTGGATGAGAAGTTGTAAGTATGTGCTTAATAAGAAATGAACAACATATTTTTAAATCGTGAGAACTTAATATATATGTTTGAGTGAGTTTAATTCGAAGTGTCACGGTTTTATACTTTACATACTCCAAAGGCAAATCTCGTGCATCTTTCATGTAAATTCGGAGTTCATAGATTATTTAATTAAGGATCACAGCTCCTTTTTCTGAAACTTAATTTTTTTTAAACTTTTTTAAAAGTAAATATTCTTTCATATTTTAACCTTTTTATTCATTTATGAAATGTGATTTATTTATAAATTATGTGTACTGCTAACTAGATAAACATATATATATAGGCGGTGGTCTTTTTTAGTGTATATTTGCTATAAAAGAATATATCCTAAAGTTAGGACTATCCTAAGACCATCTATTAGCTAGAAGATACATTTGTCTTTTAAAATATAACTAGCATATAAGGATCGTAATGATGCTATGTGGATAAATTTATCGGTTTTCAAGAGCTAAATTGGCAGCGCGTCATCACTACTTTGGCATCCATTTTTACGATTACAAAAATTAGGTCCACTTGGTGTAATGTGGAGATAATTTTGACGAAGTAGAATCCTGACTGCAAAAATCAGTTTAATTCATTATTTTCGATGAAAACGTTTAAATAATTCAATCACTACTAAATCAATTTATTTTTGTATTTTTTTATTTTTCATGATGAAACATGTGAAACTACATATTACATTAATAGACACAACTTATAAAAATCAAGTAACACTTGTAAGATTGATGAAGTCATAATGATGTAATAAGATATATTACAATATGATTGTTAGTTAAATTATTTAGTTAATTAAATGCTGCTTCTAACAGTTGCCACTTCTGATCTTTTTTTTTACTTTTTGTGCAGGGGTTAAGAAACATACAGAGTATTTTTCTATATTTATCCAATACTTTGAATATTCTATCCCATATTTTGTGGGCAATATGTTCTTACATCTATATTTGTATATGTAGTAATTAAATAGCAGCATCATATTATTTATTGTTATACTGTTCACAAAATCCTCAGACACACCTAAAATGATTTCTTTTGCGCTAAAAGGCAAGAAAATGTCATTATTTCTAATCCAGTCTAATATGGAAAGCCAGAAATGTTATACAACAATACATTCCCATGTAAATTTTTTTTTCTCTGATTTCTGAACAAAAAGTACATAGTTCAGTTTCTTTTAATTTACTTTTCAATAAAAATGAATAACATGGTAGAGTCCTATGAACACTCTTAAAATGGAAATTTTGTAAAAACGAATTTCTGGTAATAATAAAAGGCAAGAGTAAATAGTATTCCTATCTTCAATCTGCATATTTAAATCTTTTTCCAATTTATTACCAGAAGATAAAGTTAACACTTTATCATCTTCCAAAAATAATTTATAGAAAACATTACAGGATTTTGGTTCCTTTTTAACTTTATCTATCAATTTATTTTCAATATTGTCCAATTGAGAACTACCTTCCATCATACTTATCCATCTATTTGGAATTGCACTTACCAGGATATCATGCCAAAAGGGATTGAATGTCTTAGCTATTAAAGTAATCCATCTTGACTTAATTGTAAAATTTTGTCTCCCCCAAACTTAGCAGCAAAAAACACTACTAAATCAAATACAAAATAAAAATAACAATTACATTTTCGATTTATCCCTAATTAATTTTAAATGAAACATACTAATGCGAACAAAATGGGTACGAGTTGGCAAAGTTACGAGTTGTCGTATATCCATAACAGCGACCTCTTGCGGAATATAATGGAACTATTTCGTTTATGTTTTTGTAACTTCTTGATTTGTTACTTGCAGTTTTTCTTGAGAAACGGAACTTCTCATTGGCTGTCAGCGGAAACAATTACATTGACACATTTTCCAAACACGTGGCTCAACCAAGAATTTAAATTTCACATATAGAGAGTTTTAATATTTCGATTGAAAAACAAATATTCGTCCTATACAAACCTGGATATTCCATTTTACAAATTAAGATATTTATAATTTCTAAGTTACGATTTAGAATGTAGAAATTTAATTGATCAAAAAAGAAATATCATTTCACAAATTAAAAAATGTAGAATTTCATGTAACGAACGAAAAAAGTCATTTACAAATTAATAATTGCATTTACACATTAAAAAGTTACATTTCAAAAATCAAGAATTTTAGAAATTCATGTGACGGATGGAAATAAATACATATTACAAATTAAGAAATTTAATTTTACAAATTAAGAAATTGTATTTTAGCAAATTAAGAAATGTATAATTATGGAGGATATTCCCTTCCATTTTATCGTGACATCATAAACATCAATAAATTTAGAAAGAATTAAAATAAAAAACAACAATTTAGTAGTGTGATAAAACATATCAAGTCTCAAAAATGGAAAAAAAAATATGGAAAAAGAGAAAAATATTACTTCAAACGGCAAAAATATATATTTTTTCTTTTGCATTGCAATCTTATCAATTCCTTGTCTACTATATTGTCTTGAGGTTTAAATATGGACTGGTTATGTTCTTACATTAATAGTTAAAAGTTATAAACCCATCGTTCAAATGCATATAGTAAACATGACATTTTGCACTATTTCTTAAAATATTCCGTTTAATTTTAATTAAACATATTTTGGGGTCCAATATTTTCTAAAAAAGAGTGATCAGTCTATTCTCAAAGATTTTTTACTTACATTTTAGACATTTGGGGTGTTACAATTATGGCTTAACTTTTATATTCTTCAGAAAGGTAAACCTTTGGTTTTTTTCAATATTTATACCTACTTCAAATATTTTCTCCGGACAGTTTTTAAATATGATGATTGTCAACTGGAATTCTGTTATATTTAGGACATTTACTTAAACAATATTTTGATCGTATTTCTATTTGTACGTTGACAAAAAAAAGTCACTGAACCATAACTTCAATCTACTATATAAGCTCCAGTTTTCGGCATAATAAACTAGGCTTGAATTTACAACTTAAAGGTAAGTCAGCTCTCACAGAAATTGTTCGTTTGTTAAGGGTCATCATGATCAATAGAACAACCAAATTCACAGAAAGGCATTAAATTCATAAATCAACAATTTCTTCTTATTAAAATGTAACAATTATATGGAATAGATAAAATCCTTTTAAATCAACCTAAAAGCTTCAAGTATGGCCTTCATTGGCGTAACGATTGTTTTCATGTTTTTATCTCTTATATCGATGTAACTAGCTATTGCCATGCCAATGCATCCTGTAGGATTTGGCTGGTTGTCTGCCCTCATAAATGTTTTGTCGTCAACTATATAAATGCATGTACCAGAATCGCCGTTTTCGAATGGGAAATTTTCCATCAGCAATTGATTATAAAAACGAACACACTGTCTATCGTGTTTTATCATTTCGTCAAGCTTTGGAACAATTGTAGTTTGGAAATGAACGTCAGTAGCTACATGTAACGGCTTCGGGTTACTTTCTATGACCTTTTTTATTTGTTGTGCTAGATCCTCCCAATATGGGGTCACACCGTGCTCAAGGCCATCTACGAATTTTTGTTTATCCTCATCATAATCTTCATATTTTATAATTCTTTCGAAATATCCACTTTTGGCTCCGACAAGCCTTGCTTTCATTTCTCCTTTTTCAATTTTATGAGATTTATAGTTGTCATTTAAATACGGTGAAGTCATACCTGAAAAAAATATTAAATTAACTATTTTATTTTTATATCAATTATTTTTTCAAATTTTATTTACCAATTTACTTACTACATATTCCATTATTTACTAATTATATTTTGATATATCTACAAGGTAACAATTTTAATCACAAAATGTCACCATTACTTCAGTTTTAGAAAATGTAGGTTATTTCAAATGAAGTTTTTATTTCTATCATACTCCAACATAAAATTCAAAACATCAAGTATACTCCAGTTGTAAAAATAAAAAAAAAAGATGGTTAACTTTTCGCATTACGGTAAGGAGAAAATCTTTTCTTAGACACATCAAGTAAATATTTAACATAAAATATGGTTGATGTGTTAAGGTGGATGGCCATTTGCTTGCATATATACTTTAACTTTGTTGTGTACATTAAAAGTCAAATCACAAAAATACTGAACTCCAAGGAAAGTTCAAAACGGAAAGTCCCTAATCAAATGGAAAAATCAAAAGCTCAATCACATCAAACGAATGGATAACAAGTGTCATATTCCTGACTTGGTACAGGCATTTTCTTATGTAGGAAATGGTGGATTGAACCTGGTTTTATAGCTACCTAAACCTCTCACTTGTATGACAGTCGCATCAAGTTCCATTATATTGACAACGATGCGCATTAAACGTTACTTAAGCATTTTAAGATCGACCATTTTGACTTTTTGATGTTAAGATAATATTCAAATTTATTTTGTTCATTGAGTAAAAAAGCTAACATTTATCAAGTGTGCTTGCTTGCTCCGCTGTTTTCTAATTTTTCTAAAATTTTACTTAATATTAAATGACCAGCGCAAACGCCAGATGTAACAAAATGGAGCTTAATTATTAATTTAATACCAAACAGAAAACAATAAACTTGCGGAAAAGATGGTGTACCGCAAACATGAGGTGCAAAAATAATTACACCATATCCGGATTTCGACAATTAATGCCTCTTCAGTGATGTTAGGAATCGAAACGGTATTTGAAAGGCCATATAATTTACCTCAATGTAGGAAGGAATCTTGAATGAAATAAAGATATATATAGATATAGATATACAGTCTCAATGTTTTTACAATTATATTGATAGAAAAATACGGATAAAATAAAAAGAAATCGTATTTACAGATATTCAATGTTAGTCCCTGTTCAGAATACGATCAGTTGTTTGTGTGTTAATATCGTGTACCAGTAATCTTGTTCTTCATCAAATTAATAAAAAAATTGGCAAGTTGATATTTTTAAAAGCGTATATGGTTATAAGAGACCAATCTCCGTAATTTGAACTATAGTTCTTGCAGTTTTCCTAAAAATCCGGTAAATTCATTCTTTTAGTATTATAAAAACTACAACTACAAATGTATTACTTGGTGTTTTCCATTGACAGGAGCTGATGTAGTATATAATTAGAATTTAAATATTTAGTGCTGAATGTTTTTGTTTATACAATTATCGATAGTACAAGAAAAACTTCACGGAATTCAACCAAAGTTGACAAGACGAAAAAGTCCGCATATAATTTGCCGAATGCAATTAACTTAAGTTGAATGGATGTCTTTTAACTGCGGAAAGATTATAACATAGTAGTTTTTGTCAGATTATAACATAGTTGGGGGGGGGGCGTATTATAGCTGTTTGCTGTAAAATTACTGTTATACTGAAATGGTTTCGAAATATCAACGTTATAGAAAGCTCAAGGGTGTTTTCAAGTTTTTCAAACATTTGATATTTTTGTTCTCAGGAAAAAAAACTTTTTTGTGGAGAAACATGATTTTTTGGCAATAGGGGTTAATAAAATTTACCTCTAAATGGAGTAACAGTGAATCCAGCTCAAATTAAATTTTGAATGATTTGACGGATTCATAGTTGAAAAAAGTTGAAATTGGAAAAAAATATCTTTATTTAATCACAAAATATTTATTTACAAAACAGTGATTACCAGCGAAAAAATTTTAAAAGAGTTAATGTTGCTGAGTCTTCAGCAAGTTACATAAGCAGTTGTACATCTACTCACTTTTATTGGGTAGTAGACTAATGATGAGTTGGGTCATAATTTCATCGACCATTACGTGTATCGTGTAGAGTTAACCTGTGAATTGTACCCTTCACAGGAGTTTGATGAATCCACTATATTTAATAGTATGTTCAATGATTTATCTATTTGTTAACAAAATTGTGAAATTCACAGTTTGCGGATGACGGTTGTTTATGGCAATCAGGTTCGAGCATTAAGTTTTTACCAAAACTATACAATAAGTCTTGATAATAAATACAAATGGTGCTCTTCGTGGGGTTTTAAAATGTATCCAAGTAAAACCGAAGCTATGATATTTACTAGAAAGACAAATGTAAATACAACTTAAAAACATGACAATCATGTATTGGAAATAATTAAAGAAATAAAAGTTATTCAAATCTTACAACCTTAGTCTATGAAAGAAATAATTGTATGAAGTTACTTACGGGAACATGATGAATTGGATAAATACTTGATTAAAAAGTTGTGAAATTTATAATTTAGCTTCTTTTACAATGAAAAGATGTTAAGATAACGTTCAAACTATCATGCATTACGTAAATGTACCGAATGAATGAGATCTTTTTCTTTCCTTATATGAAATGGGTGTCCATAATGACATAGGAAGATCGGCTAAACGTGCGATTTACCATATTTTCATTTTTGGTTTTTACCCAAAAATTGTTAGATCAAAACTTATTTTCAATGTAGATTATAGTCGTAAGTTGAACAGTATTAAAGGATTTTTGTTTTTATCCCCATTAATTATTTTCATAATGTTTCTGTATGTATTTATTTTTTACATTTATCATTAAGGAGTATAATGTATATGGAAATTATATATATATTAGCTTAATCTTCCTAAAAACAATAAATTTACTGCCATATAACCAGCAAGCCCAACTACTGTTTGATAAACGTTAGTAGGGATTTTCAAATGATTGAGAACCGTGAAAAAACCAGCTCAAGCTCTCATGAGCTTGTTTGATAAATATATTGCAGTTTGACTTATTTTTCGTTATCCCGATATACATGTATACATTAAAAACTATCAGAGATATACTAGTTTTGATAGTTGAATTAAGAACGTAAATAAAGACTTTCATCCTAAACTGGAAAAATATAAAAAAAAAATAAGATAATGCGACCGTATTTGTCACTTTTTAAAAGACATCCCCTTCCAGATCCAAAGCTGTTACAAGTAACGGTAACAAAGTAATACCTATGTAAAATCTGATTCAATAACTAAGACAGTGAACTTGCAGAATTGAATCTAAAAGAAGAAAAACATAACAAAAAATATAAGATAGTTGCCCAAATGTTTCGGCAAGTCTATATTAAATAAAAACAACAGTAGTATATCGCTGTTCGAAAGTCATAGATCGATTGAAAGAAAACTAATCCGGGTTACAAACTAAAACCGAGGGAAACACATCAACTATAAGAGGAAAACAACGAAACAACAGAAACACTGAAGTGCAACAAAAACAAACGACAATGCAACACACACAGAAACGAACTATAAGATAACAACTGCCATTTTCCTGATTTGGTACAAGACATTGTAAGAAAAAATGGTGGGTGGAACCTGGTTTTGTGGAGCCAAACCTCGCACTTTTATGGCAATGTTAAATATAACACTAAAATGACAACATGACATGACAGGAATACAGTACAAATAAATTCAAGAACATTCAGGACAGAGAAATACACAAATAAACAATACAATAGTACATTTCGACATGCTAACCACAGAATAAAAACGAACACGTAAAACAACCTTAGACAGAACACAAAAACAGCACAACAGAACCACGAACTGTCTGTCACACGACTGAATAAACGCCACAAAAGTGACGTCACAGGTAAATTTTCAAAAATTTGATACAATTCAAGATTAGGTTTGTATTATGTTATTTGATGTATTTTATAATAATTACCAGAATATTAATATAGAATTGTGTTAGTAAATAAATAATGAATTGTATTATCTAGCTATGTCGGTATTTCTTCTAAATCAAACTGTAAAACAAATAAATCGTGAACATATAGTTGCTTTAGACTAAAATCTTATAAATGAACTGGGTGATTAATTATCTTTACTTTTATTTTAACATACGAATAGAAAATAAAACAATTATAATTACAACGACAAACGATAGGACATTTAACAATATCCTATCAGAATTACAAATACAACATCATAACTAAGTACATGAATGTTGGATAAACAAATACCGTGACACGTCTTATAGCAATGCAAATTCACACTCAGCAAAACAGTCATATTCGGGAATATGTCATGTTCGGTACTTTAAAGACCAGACGACTTGAATGGTAAACCACAATCTAAGACGTGGTAAAAATGTCCTTAGTTAGTTTAGACACAGACACATCGTATGGATCAACCCATTCGTGATGGTGTCCATAAAATTTACGGAGTGTCATTTTTAATCTTTCCTCCTCATCACATTGTTGAAGCAGTTTCTGCGTAAGGAGCACACTCCTGTATATGAAGTCCGTATAGTGTGAACATGCACGAGCATAACGTATCAACTGAGATATGTAAACACCATACGATCGGACAGAGGGTATGTTACTGCTTAGAAATGGGAAATTGATAATTGGGAAGTTGAAATCGTCCCGTTTGTCATAGATTTTAGTGTGAAGTTAATACATAAACTCCGACAGATTGTTGACAAGCCAATGAGAATCGTGAATGAATTCAATATATCTAAAGAAAATCATACTTAAAAGTAACTTTCTTTGGCCTATATAAACCTTTTATCAAAAAAAAATCACTTAAACTAATCTCATTTACGTTCACACTGATAAAAAGTCATTTTATGGTACATAAAAGTAATTTTGTTAGGAAATTATTCTTACCAAGAGTAATATGAAACTGTACATTTTCATGGGGTTGTCTGTGAGTTATGTAAAAGAGGGACGAAAGCTACCAGAGAGACAGTCAAACTCACAGATCGAAAACAAACTGACAACGCCATGGCCAAAAATAAAAAGACAAACAGACAAATAATAGTACAGATGACACAACATAGCAAACTAAAGACTAAGCAACACGAACCCCACCAAAAACTGGGGTGATCTCAGGTGCTCCGGAAGGGTACGCAGATCCTTCTCCACATGTGACACCCGCCGTGTTGCTTATGTTATTACAAATCCGGTAAATAGTCTAATTCGGTAGGTCACATTTGTGAAAAGGGAAGGGTATTGAAGTTACGACGTAAGGAACATATCCGATTTCATCTGTGAAACGGTTACTCCATAACGGTCAACCAACTCGTGATGGCGTCCGTAAAATTTACGAAGGGATGATTTCAACTTCACCATTTGGAACTCTTGGTTTAATAGCTTCCTTGTGAGCAGCAATCCTCTATCAAGGAAATCTTGATAGGAAATACAACCCCGGGAATATCGTATTAACTGGGAGATATATACTCCGTATGCAGGCGCTGCTGGAATGTTGCTACATAGAAATGGGAAGCTGAAATCATCTCTTTTGTCGTAAAGTTTTGTTTTCAACCGACCCTCATTATCAATTTCTAGATGTAAATTAAGATATGAGGCAGACTTAACTGAATCTGTAGTATCCTTTATCTCTAGTTCGATGGGATAGATTCGTTCAACATAGTCACCAAATTTTGTATTATTTAGTGAGAGAACATCATCTATATAGCGGAACGTAAAGTTAAAGGATATTGCTAACTGCTTATCTTTCTTCCTAAGAAGTTCCTGTATGAAGTCGGCCTCATGATGATAAAGAAACAAGTCGGCAAGAAGAGGGGCACAATTGGTTTCCATTGGAATTCCGACAGTCTGTTGAAAAACACGTCCTCCAAACGTAACAAATACGTTGTCAATAAAAAAAATCAAGCATCTTGATAATGTCAGTTTCAGAGGTTTTTGTTTGAATCATGTATGTTTTTGGTTACAGGCATTTAAGGTCAGAATGGTCATCTCATGTTTCTTTAACTTAATTGCCAACACTGATGAAATATTTTGTATAAATCAATCAATCCTTTTTATAATACTTAGTTTGTTCACCTATTGTTAAGCTGTTTAGCCTGTGTTAATCAATAGAACGATTTTCGTTAGATATCGACCACTCATCTTCGTGGAAAAAGCCGTTTTTGTATTACATTAAGTAAAAATTCAAATCATTTTTTTTTTCAATAACATACTGAAACTCCATGTTGCCCCTGGCCCTTCTTTTTAAAAGGGGCACCAGGTGTCAAATTCATGTTCACCGATTTTACTCAAATTCTCATATCTGATTTATTACAATGTAAAAACATGTATCCAAATTATTAAAAGTTTAAAATAAACAATTTATAAGGCATGGGCTCGAGCATATGAAGCTTCGTTTCGTGTGTATTTGAGTCTAGATGCCATCTATTAAACTATCGAGTTGACCTCCGAAGACCTCCGATGGTCATATAAGCGATATAAACAGAAATATGGATATAAATGGAACGTGAACTCGTGCAATTGAATTTTCTAGGTCTGTTTACTTTCATATTATAGATAAAAAATATATGTTAATCATCGTATTTACCTTTGTTTCACTTTAAATGTTGACATTCTTTTCTTTTAAATAACTCAACACGCACGATTCATGCGTTATCCATCTCTAGGTAAGGGATTAAGTTGAATACGGATTCAATGAGGTCTAATTATTCATTTGCAAGTGAATAATTCATCATCAATATTCCTTAGCTTATTTTGACAAAATTGGACCATACTGGTCGCTTACAGCGAATTATCATTTCACTTTCATTAAAGATTGAACCAAAAAAAAATCAGACTTTTTTATTTTTCATATATCTCGTAGCTAGTTCTCTTTAATGGAATCAAACGATTTTTAACACTTCCCTTTTGAAACAAATATAAATGTTTTCATTAAAAAAAAATGAATTTAAAGTTTTCTTTAAAATCATTAAAAAAACATACTGTGAAAGTACTTTTATTCGTGGGTATCAATTTTCGTAGATTGAGCAAAAGTAACATGTTCGTGGGTTCTTAAATTCGTGGATTTTAGTTTTCTGAGAATAAAATTTGGGTGAAAATTTGAACCCATCAGAAACGAAGTTTCTTGAAAATAATCATATGGTGTTCATTTTCACTTACATGTTCGTTTTTAATTTCTGATAACATAATCATCAAATTTTTAATAAAATACCCCGTAATGCTTTCAGAAATAAGCTGATTCATTTCTGAATACAAATTGTCTCATTGAAGAAAACTACAAAGTAAATATTTCGATTGTTGTACACGTGTAATCTGAAGTGGTGACACCAATTAACCCGACATCGAATGATTAAGAGATTAATGATCATCAAAGGTGTTAATTGGGCCATAAACATGTCATTTAAAGAAAAAAAATTGCATAAAAATGCTACAAATGTACTTTGAATAAAATTGAGAATGGAAATAAGGAATGTGTCAAAGAGACAACAACCAGACCAAACAGCAGAAATCAACCGACGGCCACCAATGAGTCTTCAACACAGCACAAAATCCCGCACCCGGAGGCGGGCTTCAGCTGGCCCCTAAACAAAATGAATGAATATAATTGAAATAAAAAAAGCAAGCCCAATATGCAACAATTATTAGTTTTTTCCGGAAGAGAATTATGAGGAGATAAAATTAACACTTCATCATCATACATCTTAACAAGAAGTCTGACATTCATTTTTCAAAGCTAAATTTTCGTGAGATTTGAAAGGGTAAAAGTCGTACAACTTTGGTTATTTAAAGATTAAAATCCTGTCTGAAGTTGTACATGCTACTCTTTTGCTACGCCACTGCATATAGTTCATAGTGCGTTTGCTGATATTCGATGTTTTCTCTAGAAAATATGCCCATATCCATGTAGTCGAACCTACAGGGGATTCCATTCCACGAAAACCACGAAAATTGGTACCCCACGAATAAAAGTACTTTCACAGTATTTGAAAAATTATTAGAAAAATTAATTGGTTTTAGCCTACAGAAAAAATTTTATTAAATTCCATGTTATGTATATGTACAGGTAATTATGACCGATATACAGATAAAAACAATCTAATTTGAAACCAGTGTTCATTACATAAACTAATTGTAAACAGGTTTACAGGACACGACGTTTGGTGTGAACACGACCTTATTGATATAGGTTATAGTTTTATTGTTCATGTCCGATCATTGCGTCTGGTAATTTTGGGAATACACATCAAATTGGTTATTAATAGTTAAAGTATTACTAAAAAATAAAAGCATAAAAATATACCTAGAAACTCAACTGGCTTTCGTGAATGATTCTCGTCTTTTCCAATTATTTGTACAATTTCTTTTTGGTCAACCGAAGATGTTTTTCTATCAAGAACCACAAGAGCTGCATCAATGCTGGTTTTTTCTTTCTGGTCATACTCAAACAAATCATCTACCACATGTCCACAAACAAAGCCATCTGCCATGCCATTAAGATAACAACTAACATGAACTTCTTCCTTATGTTTGTTTCGTTTGCTTCCAGATAAAAGCACCTTTCTATCATATACAACATGAGAACATGTTATAAATGCATCTTGTCCTCGATGTTGGACAAATCCCCCTAATGTTCCCCATGATGTCTTATTTTTTGGTCCAACTGGACACCCAACATACATTTTATGCACAAAAGTCACATTTCCTTGCCTAACTGTGGTATTCTTACTACATACATCGATGGGCAAATGTTCTTCACCTATAGGAATAATACCCTTAGCCTGGCAACAAAGCTGAACGCAGCACGGTTGAACTAATAATATATAAACTAATGTCAACTTTGTGTGCTTCAAAAAAAGCTCTTGTGCCTTTTCACCTGAAATGGTTGGCATTTTTTCAAAAGTTATTTCTTCAGTAAAACTATCACTGTTCTTATTTGTCTTCGCTATTGTAGGATAGAACGCGCTTTGTTTGACTGGAATGCCAAAGTATTCTCTCGGAAGATCTTCTAAATACTCGTCAGCATCAACAACTATTACTAGTTCTGTTGAACAAATAGCTGAACTGCCTTTTTTATTGCATCTACAAAAGAAGCCAGGCCAAATGTCTTTTACTCGACCGAAAAATTGCGAGATATTAGTCTGCTTGATTATTCGTCTTAAAACACACCAACCGAAAGCTTTGGACAATTTGTGCAACTGATATTGCATTGCCTTTTTGAGTAGGTAAAGTACACGAGACAAATGTAAATGTCTAGCTATGATAAAACGATACCATAGTTCATGATGGTCACACATGATTTTATCAGTGGGTGCTGACCTGTTACAATCCTTTTCCTGATACATTTTTTCAAATACTAATTGGCATGACTTCGAACACTTCGGGCTTTCGTCCAATGTAGAATGACCTATATATTTATTAAAAAGAAAAAAGATATTTCTATTGAAAAATTAATCTGTATAACATTAATGAAAGATGATGCATGTATTTGCATGGTATACGTCATTGTAACAAGTAAAAGCAGATATATGTATAGTAACCGTTATCAAAACAAGTTTCAAACGACACAATAACCAAAGAAATGCCGATATAGATTTAACAATATGCACATGTTTAGCTATGCAATATGACAAACCAAAAATCCCCCTGGGAAGAGGTCATTTTGAAACAATAACAGAGACTATCTTTCATAAAGATCTGTCATCGTTATGATTAAAATAGTAAATCAAGATCATGCTTTTTTCAAAAACTGTTTTTCATCCTTTTCCAAGAGTGTTTGTCAGACTTATCTCAGACTTACACTTATTCCAATTGAAATGTGCTGATCGATTATTTAGTCTGGGAGAACACGATGTATTTATAAGTTATAATTGCGTTTAGCTAGCGATCAGTAATTGCGATTTGTCTAAGATCGATACTTTGTGTCCTTTGACGTATTTGTGGGAAAACCCTGACATTGTAAATGTTACCATCGTGAAACACGGACATTTTAAAACACTGAATTGTAAGTTAACTACAAGGAAATGTGCGTCTTTTACGCTAAAAGCCATGAGTTTGACTGTCCCTCTGGTATCTTTTGTTCCTCTTTTATGCTAAAAATAATGTATACTATTCAAAGAATAAGAATACAATTATTATACTCGCGAAATATCAGTAAATCGGTTTGATCTCATGACATATCACTCGAAATTACCTGATATACTTTTAAAAAAACACCGAATCATTCGAAGAAAAGACGATCAAACCCGGACACTATACCTACCGTGGAGCTATTACACTGATGTCCGATGTTAAAGAAGGGAGATAATTATCTCTTTTAATTCTGAGAAAGAATTATAAATTTATATTTTCATTTAAGCTTGGTATGATTCATATTATCATAATTACGATCAATACGAATTTTTACAAACAAGTTCTTTGTCAGGTTTTCTATTTATACTACCGTGCAGGCCATAATCTTGCCGGCGAAATTGCGATTTAAGCCGCCAAAGAACTTTGAATATCGCTGTAAACTTGCTGATAAGTTGCAGTTATCCTGTCATCGTCAATCATAATTCTGAGTGAAGACCGTATATTTATCTTTTAATTAAAGCACAACTTTATCAGTCTTCAATACAGTAAATATTAGTCAGATGAAATAAAATATATGCATGTAGGTCTGTGTAACACTTATCAATTCAAATCTTTTTAAATTTTTCATATTTTTGGTCAAAGTTTTAAATTTTACCAATAATTCAAAAAATTTTAAATTATAAACTTCGTTTTAAAATTTAATAGTTTTAGATATTTATGCAAATTTCAATAAAACTAAGTTCCACGAGGGGCTGCAATAATGATACATTTTTCAGGTGCAGATCCAGGAATTGCCTAGTCAGCCAACGTTTGGACTGATGCTTGTAAAAAGTATATGTATTTATCAAATATGTAGCTCCATTAGGAGTTGGCGGGCCCCCTTTTCCCTAAATCTACCTCCGTTTTAAATAGCAAATAAAAGGAAACATTCAAACTTCCAAAAAACGGAATGATTAAAACTGTGCATTCAGTTTAGTACTATTAAAATTTGCTTAAATATCTAAACTATTAGAAACATTCTAAGAATTGAATCGGCTTAGCTTCTTTAATTATATTCCACATATTTATGACTACAGGCACTATTGTAAAATAGATATATCAACAACAGTGAAATCTGTGTGCTTTTGATCTACGTTTTATGAAATTTGGGATTATGTAAAATCAATCGATACACTATATTCATCCGTTTCAACAAATCAAAGATACATCGCTATCAGTAAGATACCACTAGCAACAATAAATAAGATCTATTTGACTAAATATTACCTTGACATTTTTCGGGATTAATCATTTCTTCGGCTGACTTGGCATCATCTTCAAAAGCATAACGAAAATATAAAACAACTTCAAGTTACAATAGAAAGAATTAAAATAACACCTGATATATTTTAATGATAAAATGAAAGTTAAAGCACAAAAACAAAATTCTTCTATTTCTATGGCGAGGATGGAAATTTGTTTACTTATCGTGTTATTTTTGTGGTTCTCTTGAAAATGGAAGTGTCTGTGTTTTGTACTGAACTTACTGTTTTATACACGAAATTATAGTGGTTTAAATGCAATATTTTTAAAAAAGGTGTTAAAATGCAGTGGTAAAATGTTGAAAAAACAAAATTTAATAAAACGTGTTAATTGACTGGATAATGATGATTGATTGTAAATTAAATCCATTTTCCACAGAGAATATCTAATACTTTTTTCTTTATCCGTTCTTTGTACTAAGCCGAACCGCTTAATTTTACAAATGTGCGATTTAACCAGGCAACAGTCCACAGGAAGACACATTATTCTGGTGATGGACTGACAAATCGGTCCTTTCTCTTCTAAATTTCGCGTGCTGATTGGAGAATCAATTACAAGGCCTTTAATTTGACTCGGCTTGGGATCGAACCCACGATAAATTGACTTGATATCTAAGTATATTTGTTTGATATCAAAAAGTTAGTTGGTCAAGGCTAATAATATCAAAACTTGACACCTGTAAGAAGGATTTAGGCAAGTTTTGTCTTTACTTAATATTTAATATCTATCGTCTGAATAATATTTTAACTGAAAGCAAATTAACATAAACATAAAATTACAAGAAAACCTAACGAATGTTCTCTATCTTAAGATACCTTCAAACTTCCTTTTGGTTCCCCGCCTTTCTTGACTAATGACTAAAATTGAGAAACAGATGGAAGTAAATGATTATAAAATGTATGAATATAACTAAAGTCGGACAAGTTATTTTGATGATTGTCTAACAATTTCGATAGGCAATTGGTTAAAAGAGCAAAAATGAAGCATTCCACACTAATTTTTTATTTGTGTTTTAAAGCTATTTCAAAGTATAACACCATTACTATAAAAATACAAAATTAAGCAGCATCGGTCCAATCCTTGAATACTTTCAAATTAATTTAATTTGAAAGCTGACATGGCCACAACACAACGACAAAAACATCTAGAATGACATGTCCATCAGATATATAATGAATCTTAATGTCTAAATTTGTAAATAGAACGACATAACAAAAAATAATAACTTTGAGTTAGTAAACAGAATTCCTGAAATTTTATTTCCAAATTTGGAACTCGATACCCGTTCCTGATAAAGGTAAACCTAGAAAAGAGCTCCGTACGCATGCAATTTGTATATTTATATAATGTGTAGTTGTTTTCATTTTTCTAGTTACAAATGCAGTCATAAGTAGTCACATTTAATGGATGAATCTTTATAAAATGAATTTGGTTCGTCGGTTTATAATTTTATACCGAAAAGATGCAATTTATGGTAATGGAATTGATCTCGATAAATAATGAGGCACATCTGACATAATTACTAAAACCCTAATTATGTTTGTGACTATTTATGACCTATAAATAAAAGCAATAATAGTATATCGCTGTTCAATAGTCATAAATTGATTTAACTGAAACAAATCCGGGTCACAAACCAAAACCGAGGGAAACTCATTAACTACCAGAGGAAAACAACGGAACAACAGAAACATTGAACTGTTACAAAAGCAGACGCCAACATACATTGAAACGGACTATTTGATAATAACTATATTCCTGGCTTGGTACAGAACTTTTCAAGAGAAAATCGTGGGTTAAACCTGGTTTTATGGCGATCCAATCTCCCGCTTATATGGCAATGTTAAAATTACCGCTAAAATGACATCATTACGTGACTAAGGTACACAGTCTCAAATACAAACAATATTTATAATATTTAAAATCGGCTTTGGGTGGAACCCAAGATAAATTGACTTGGTATCTAAGTATATGTGCATGATAGTAAAAATTAGTTGGTCAAGGCCAATAATATTCAAACTTAACATCTGTAAGAATTATTAAGGTAATTTTTGTCTTTATTTAATCTTGACTACCTCAATACTATTTTCATTAAAAGTAACTCAAGGATAGCTTCTTTATTATATTCCACATATTTATGACTACAGGCACTATTGTAAAATAGATATATCAAAAACAGTGAAATCTGTGTGCTTTTGATCTACGTTTTATGAAATTTGGGATTATGTAAAATCAATCGATACACTATATTCATCCGTTTCAACAAATCAAAGATACATCGCTATCAGTAAGATACTACTAGCAACAATAAATAAGATCTATTTGACTAAATATTACCTTGACATTTTTCGGGATTAATCATTTCTTCGGCTGACTTGGCATCATCTTCAAAATCATAACGAAAATATAAAACAACTTCAAGTTACAATAGACAGAATTAAAATAACACCTGATATATTTTAAATGATAAAATGAGAGTTAAAGCACAAAAACAAAATTCTTCTATTTCTATGGCGAGGATGGAAATTTGTTTACTTATCGTGTTATTTTTGTGGTTCTCTTGAAAATGGAAGTGTCTGTGTTTTTTTACTGAACTTACTGTTTTATACACGAAATTATAGTGGTTTAAATGCAATATTTTGAAAAAAGGTGTTAAAATGCAGTGGTAAAATGTTGAAAAAACAATCTTTAATAAAACGTTTAAATTGACTGGATAATGATGATTGATTGTAAATTAAATCCATTTTCCACAGAGAATATCTAATACTTTTTTCTTTATCCGTTCTTTGTACTTAGCCGAACCGCTTAATTTTACAAATGTGCGATTTAGCCAGGCAACAGTCCACAGGTAGACACATTATTCTGACGCTGGACTGACAAATCGGTCCTTTCTCTTCTAAATTTCGCGTGCTGATCGGAGAATCAATTACAAGGCCTTTAATTTGACTCAGCTTGGGATCGAACCCACGATAAATTGACTTGATATCTAAGTATATTTGTTTGATATCAAAAAGTTAGTTGGTCAAGGCTAATAATATCAAAACTTGACACCTGTAAGAAAGATTTAGGCAAGTTTTGTCTTTACTTAATATTTAATATCTATCGTCTGAATAATATTTTAATTGAAAGCAAATTAACATAAACATAAAATTACAAGAAAACTTAACGAATGTTCTCTATCTTAAGATACCTTCAAACTTCCTTTTGGTTCCCCGCCTGTCTTGACTAATGACTAAAAATGAGAAACAGATGGTAGTAAATAATGTATAAATTGTCTGAAGCAAGTTATCTGTTGGTCTAGAATATCGATAGACAATTGGTCAAAAGAGCAATAATGAAGCATTCTACACTACTTTTTTTTTTATTTTTTGCTATTTCGATGCAAACCATCATCAATATGAGAATGCAAATTAAGCAGCATAGTTCTTTGAATACTTTCAACAGCAAAAAAAGTGATGATCCACATTAATGAGGAAATTGGATTAATTTGAAAGCTATATTAGCCACAACACAGTAATCAGTGTCCATTAGATATATAACGAATCTTAATGTTTAAAATTATAAATAGAAAGACATAACAAAAAATGTAACTAAGAGTAAGTGCGCAGAATCCCTGAAATATGATAACCAAAGGTGGAACTCAATAACTTTTAGTTACAAATGCCATCACAAGAAGTCACATTTAACTGATGTCTAAAGCATTATTATTTTATAAAAAATAAATCTTTATAAAAAGAACTTTATTCGATTGGTCGGATTATAATTTTATACCGAAAAGATGCAATTTATGGTAAAGGAATCGATCTTGGTCAATTATCAGATACATCTTACATAATTACTAAACCCTAAGTATGATTATGACAATTCATGGTCTATGATTGCCTTGTATTGTGTTTAAAAGAGAGGATAAATATTAATGCAGTAACATCGATTCAACAACCACGGTGATAGTCATAAAAAATAAATAAATAAATTTTGGACAGGTTGCATGGTAACTGACAACATTTTTCATAGTGTTCCCCCTTTAAATTTCTAACCTTCAAGTTTTTAAATTGTATTAATGATTTTCCATCAAGACTTATTTTTATATATCTTTTTTTTAGCGGCCGCCATGATTTTCTGACATGAGAAACTATTGGCGTTTCGAAAATTCATATTTTAAGACAACCTTACTAATATCTTATTTAATTTGATTTCTTTACTACAAAATAATTATAATCATTTAGTCATCATGCTCTATTTGTAACAATAGCGGTTGTGTTGTGAAGTCGACGGGCACATCTGAAAAAAGCTTGGCAATGTTTTGGGAAAATAAGCTAATTGGTGTCAGAGGAGAACTTGTTGGCAACAACTGACAATGACTAACGGATTGTTATGCATATTGTCACATATCTGTATGATTGTATCAATCTGGTTCCATGTTTTGACAATATTTCACAAATGTAATCACAAAGCAAGGAGAAGGGTCTTTTAATTATATGTTAAACATCCAAATGTTGAGTCTGTCATCACAATCGTGTACTTGTTTTAATATATTTTCCCAAATAAAAAAGTCTGATTGAAACTTGGTTTTGTTTAGGTGAAAGCTTCGTTATAATTTTTGTCATTAATTGACCTTTGTGTTACAAATATATTTCCAAATATTTTCCTTATTTTTATCTGCCTCCTTCTGCTATAGTTTTCGGCGAATATAGATAAAAACAAAATAAATGTCTTAGGTCAATCAATGTCAAAGAAGACAAATTTGTGAATACAATAAATGTCTTCTAAGATGAATAGTAAAGAATAAATTGCGTAATTGTGTATGATTTTGGAGTTATGTGAAAGTATCATATACAAGGTACTCTGAATACTTCCAAAAATAGTGTGTTTTTACCTATACCGGATTTCTAGAAAAATGAAAAGAACATATTTCCAATTTCATATATCTGAAGAGATTGAATGTCTTGAGAATGCGTTGTTTTTTTTTCTCTGAGTTGCAAATCCCAATACTACATGGATATGAAAAGGTTTATTATAGATATGCTGATTTGTTTTGGAATTTGCCATGGTCGTGTACAATTTTGTTACATGAATATATGCAACACCATCTTCGCTAGCCTAGGGTTACAATCATTCCAATAGTTTCAATTCAAGAAAAATGTATAGCTGCTTACATCGCGAAATTATTTGTATGCGTGCTTTAGGCCTTTACCAAGTCAGGAATATGACAGTTGTTATACATTCGTTTGATGTGTTTTGAGCTTTTGATTTTGCCATTTGCTTAGGGACTTTTCGTTGAGAATTTTCTAGGAGTTCGTTTTTTTTTTTTTTTTTTTTTACTTTTGAGAAAATTGACTCAGAACTAAACTGCACTTAATATTACCTTCATTTCTGGAGTAAATAACTTCTTCAAATGATGTAGAATCGTCTCGATAAACTGAATGAAAATGTTGTTTTATATTAAGAAAAATGTAAAAAGTATAATTTAGATTACAAAATCAAGTCATCAAAAAGAATGCAAACTGGACCCTGTTTGATAACAATATTTGCAAGTATTTTGATAAATGTCGTTTCATTCCAGAACAAAGAAACGAACTTACTTAAACGACATTTTTTATCGAAAAACTATCTGAAAAGCAATTTATGTCATTCCATCTTCTTGTTTGTTAACATTTTGTTGAATAAGATTTTTTCCGGAAATGTCGTTTTTCTTTCTAGATTAAAGAAAACCTTACTTTAACGGCAATTATTTGATATTCATCTAAACAGAAATGTATGTTCTGCCAATTCCTTGTCTTTACATTTTGTTAATTAAAACTTTGTTTCGAAAGAAAGTTCGTTTTTGTTTAAAAAAAAACATAATTCAATACAAATGAATGCATTATTACTTAACACTGGTACGTGTTCCTTAGAAATTAGTTTTATAACTAACATTGGTTTAATATTACCTTTATTTTTTCTGGAGTAAATAACTTCTTCAGATGGTGAAGAATAGTCTAGATAAACTGTATAAAAATACTGTTTTATATTAGAATAACTGAATTATGACCAAAAAGAGTTAAAACTGGATATTGTAAGATAACGATTTGTACAAGTAAAATATTATATAGAGATTATAATGCCGTTGCTGTCCAGATTAATGAATAAACATGCTTCAACGAGTTTTTATCGAAATATTATTTTAAAACAATTCATTTCCTCTATGCTCCCTTTACAACAAATTGTACAGTTAAATTGTAATATAGGTCATTTTCAAAATCCGTCAATTTTCTTGTCCGGTTGACCTGTGAGGAAAATAAGGCTTTATCATTATTGTAATATTGTCCTGATGATGCAACGTAATTTCCACTACTATCAAAAGAAAAATATGGAATAGGTACAAAGATTGTCTTGGAAATTGTGTTCAAAGCATTAGAATTACCCCAAACTACATGTAACCATTTCCCAAAAAAAAAATATCGTACCAAAATAGACATCTTTTTAATTACACATATCTTACAAATTTTCTGTTTTAAGATAGAAAATACAGTGTAGAATGATATTATAAAGGCATAAAATAGAAGCTGGCTATGGTATCAGATTAATTTTAATTCCTAAAGTGTTCTGGATATTTGGCAACTACATAACGAAAACGTTTTTGCTTGCTATAAAATAACTTCTGACACCTCTTTTTTAACTAGAGAGGGCCATACATTGTAGCACTAACTCTACATATCATTATGATAGTGAAAGCGTAAAAAGGTAACTCTGTAAATGGTATCAGCAATTTTTGGAATTTTAGTTAGTAAAGGTAGTCCCTTATATTTTGTCCACTTGGTAATGGGGTTGTTCTTAAATGACAATAGAAATTTTTTCCATATCTATATTATTATAATGAATTGTCTGTGTTTTATTCAAAAGCTCGGTGTATGTGATGTCGAAATATCACTAGTAATAACAAATGCCCCAAAGTGTGGATACGTCTCTTACTACTATACATAATGATCAACTACTTAACAATTGACCTAATTGTGTTATGTAGTGGACATTTTTGTTATGAGGTTGACAATTTTGTTATGTAGATGACAAAAAGGAAAGGTCAAAATCGGTCGTTGAACACTGTAATAACCGAATTATTAAAAAACGTAAATTCAACTTAAAATAAGCAAAAGGTCATCATTTATTGGTACCATCATTAAGATATCAACATCATTGCTACCAGTTTGTATTTGACAAATTCCGTAATTTCTGTAATTTGCTTTCAAAATGATCTTTCCAGTTGCATTAAGATTCCATATTTAAGATTTTGTTCATTTAATTCATAGTTCTTTAGATTGAATTAGATTGATAAAAATATTTTCTCAATTTCTATGTAAAATATTGACATACTTTTTTTAAAACGACCCATATCACGCTTAAAATTGAAATAGAAATACTAGATGAAAAGCAATGTGTGTTGTCAAAGTTCCTTGTTTTAGTATTTTGTTGAGAAAAATTCCATTTTCAGAAAAATTTGCCCAGATTAAACACACAATGAAAGACGTCAAAGAACTGAAAATTTTCAAATTTTACTATTACCTATCATGGACCAATATAAAAAAAACTCTTAATACACGGTAAGATTCAGCATATTATAGACCCGTAAGAAATCATGACTTTAAGTTAAACCTCATTGAAATTGGTCAAGAAATAAGAAGTTTATACAAAATTCTAGAAAAGTATTAAACCCTTTTTGGTAAACGAATATTATCTTGAAACAAGATGTCGTCTGACGATGATGACGACGCAGATAATGTCATAACACTATACGACGGCAAAAAATTGTGGTGGTATAAAAACGCTTTATCTTTGAATGTTGTTTATTTGGTATAAATTTGTTATCTGTTATTGTATGTAATCAGTAAATTAAAACCATAATTAATGTTATTGTGGTACACATATGCAAATTCACGAAACTACAATCTGTCGATACCTGTATTTTGGCATTGCACAAGGTTATATCTTTCTCTAACTGCTAAAGCGGCTGTACACTAAATCCATTGTATGTTGATTGTTTAATGATTGATATTTCAGTCTTAGATACATTATATGTTATTGGCATTGAACTAGCTGTCAGTAACTGATATGTACTTTGTATATTCTTTTGTTGTTATTCTCCTCAGTATCGATCTGATAATTTAAGCCCTTCGGCGGTTATCGTTTTTGGCTGTATATCATATTTCTCGTTTGAAATGTTTAGCATTTGTCATTTCGGGGCCTTAAGCTTGTAAAGCTTACTCTTGGGTTTGGATTTTGTTCATTGTTGAAGGTCGTAAGGTGATCTTAAACTTCTACTTCATTAGGTCTCTAGTGGAGAGTTGTCTCATTAGCAATATTACCGCTATTCGGTTTGTTGACAACGTATTCTTGTCTAATCGAGAGCATCTTCGAAGATCTAACCTTATCACAGAAATATCAGAAAACCATAGTAATATTTGAGTTGTACAAAACCCATCAACAATAACAACTGTTGAAAAACTCAAAGAAGAATGATATGATTATCCCTGTTTGTGTCTATAGCTTTTAACGATAAACGATGGACTTTCACATGGATTACAAATAAAAACCAGTAAAAATCACATTTCAATGACAGGTATATACACAAATGGTGTAATAGTTAAAATAACAAAATGTCATCACCGGTGATTTTGCAGCAAACGTCATCGTAGATTTGCAGTCATCGGTCATCAAACCAGTACATGCTTTTGATATACCAGATCAATTTCGTCTGTACAGATCGTATCAATTCTGGATTTCGTATAAAATGTTTATTGTGAAATTTACAGCAGTGTATGATATCCAATGATTTGACTTTTAGAGACATTTTGTGTAAACTAAAGTTTGTTCTAAGATTTATTTAGATATGTGTGCAAATGTTTTGATATTTGTATCTGTGTTATTATATTCAAGTTAATTTATTGTTAGTATTAGTGTATAAAGTTTGTCGGAATACTTGAAAGAACGTTAATGAAAACACGTTATATGGTACCATGTTTTTTTCATTAGAAACAAAATTGATAGAAAAACAATCATTCTTTTATAAAATAAACCCTTCTACAGTCACTCACTGTAGTATTCAAATTGAGAATGGAAATGGTGAATGTGTCAGTGAGATAACAACCAGACCAAAGCGGAAAACAGCCGATGGTCAACAATGGGTCTTCAACACAGCGTGAAAATTCCGCACCCGGAGGCGTGCCTCTGCTGGCCCCTTAACAAAAATGTGTACTACTGCAGTGAAAATTTGACGTCACTATAAACTCCAAAACATATAAATGAACTAAAATTTTTAAAAAATACAAGCTTAACAGAGGCCAGAGGCTCCTGACTGCAAATGCGACGGAGTTAAACATGTATTGTGATATATAAGTATTTTTTAAGTTTTTTAAAAATGCCGTTAAGTTAGAGAAAAATCAGTGGTAATGAATTCATGAATGTGGTTTCGTTATGTCGATCGGATGTCCACGCAACATATCAATATCAGGATCAAGATCAAGGGACGATTATCTTGGAATTAAGACGTCGACATGTGCAAAAATGTGGTTAGTTTACTCCCCAAGGATCAAAATCCGCCTATACAACAACATATTCCAAATTAAGTACATTCCAACATCAGCAAAAAATAATTGAGACTATCCAAGTACTGCATTCGTGCTAATTTTAATAACTTTGTTATCTATATTGTATTTGATAAAATATTACGGTGTGTATTTGAAGAACAAAGATATACAGATCCAAACGATCACGTAGCACTGCTGCATTTGAACCTCATTGTTCTATCCACATTTGTTCCAGTTAAATTTTGCCAAACCTTATTTTTTATCTAAATTATGTCAAGAATCATTAGCCAAACTATATTTATTCAGTTTGCGAAGCTTAACAAATGATATTAATGTTCAGTGTCTATCTGTTTCACCTTTTGCTTTAAGTATTTTGAGGAGGAATCATACGTTTACCTTTATTTAATGATTCAATTGTCTTTGTTATTACTATATCATCCTTACAATAATATGTATACAACATATATTCTTCAAAATACTTAATCAGTTTGAATCCCGGTTAAACACCAGTAACTTTTTAATATTAGAAACAGTTATCTTCTATATCCAATGTCCATCCCCTTAGACAACATATAAAGAAATAATGCACAAAGGAAATAAACGGATGAATAATACTAAATGCATTTAATTACATACCTTTTTGTCTTACAGATTCTGCTAAGAATTTGTATTTTTTCTGTAGATTTCGGTCAATTATCAAATGCATGTCATACATGTCACAGGATATCTTTAATTTGTAGAACCACTCTGAAATTAAAGTTTCAATTCAGTCAAGACAATTAATTCACAATCTAAAATATAAATGTTTATGTAAAATTTGAAGTCCTTTCGTACATTAGAAGGTTTTGATTCACAATTTGACATAACCGTGTTGTTTAGGGCATCAATATACTATGATTTGATAAGATAGATGAGACAATTACCCTGTTGAAGACCCGATGTTACTTTAGGTGTTTAAGCAATTCCGTCAGTTTTTGTTTGTAACTTTGGTTTGTCTTTTTAATAGTTTTATGAGATTTGAACTTGTGTAACTGTTGCATAATTTTATGTACATTTTTTATTGATACTTTCTGTTTTTAAAGCAAAAGGTTGTGAAATTTTCTGTATAAATATTACTATTAATAGTTTCGTTATCCCACAATTTCTCTTTTAATCAGTTTTGTAAATTTGCTGTACATCTTTTCTCAGTAATCCAAACACTGTTTTGATTAGTGTACATTCATTTATTTAGTGTACATATACTACACCTATTTGCAACTAAGATTTCTCATCTACAAACATGTCTTGCATGTGGTACAGAATGTTATCAATAACGACCTCGAGTCTAGACCTTTTGATTGCATATTTGCAAGGTTTCAATCCATGTGCAATCCTGCTGGCCATGGTATATGTCATTTGTCATCAAAACTTCCAAAAACAAAAAAATGTGCTACACAAGGGTTATACTGTTGCTCTCTATAATGAATCGAATTATTTGGGATAAACTTGATATCTAGACTACATCGTTAGCAAAACGTAATAAACAGCAAGAGTTTATCTAAGTTCTTGGCCTTTACTTTGTAAAATATAAACTAGACTTACAAATTATGTATACCATATAGACATCTTATATATATGTACACATCGACCAGCACTGAATAAATGCATCAGTGAAGAGATCGAACTATTTCGAATACTTTTTTAAATTACGGGGAAATCTCTTCCAATATTTTGCACTGGAAGTAATGGAATAAAATGCATTATGCGTTCAGTACAGATTAAGCAAAGGGAATGCTTAATAATAAACAAAAATCAGTTTAGACTATCAGCGCTCATCCAACAATGTGTATCCGAAGCAACCCTGTCGCAACGTAATTCAGCGATCGGGTTCGAACATCTTTACTGTTATTTCATTCAACAAGGATTCTTATCTTACGTGTATTATTTCTACACGTTCCGTACGTCGTTCTTAACTCTAGAACTTATTTACAATGTAACCTAATAGAATTTTAGAAACATTATCAGGAAACTCACCAAAACTAACTTTTGATTAGTACTTATATCAAGATGGCGTGTATATCGTATTAAACTTGAACATGTATTTATGATATACATTATTTCATGTTAAGCAATCAATCAGGCTGAGTGCTTCTAATTATGATTTTTTTTATCAATCGTTTCTGGTCAAATGGATGCTATTAAACAATAACTTCTTAATGATATAGTTCATACGTTGACCTTTAAAAATTTATAGACGCTATATGATATATGTACATGTAACATATGACCATGCATGGGCTATACAAATTTTAATAGAATCCGGGTTTGCGTTTATATCAATCATTGTTCATGTTGCATGTATGTTAACTTTGTGGTGTTACTATGTACAGTGATTCGATGTCATTTCTGATCTTAATTACCATGCACTTTATTGCGTTTGTCTGCTTTTCGTTTTTAAACGATTGCTGATAAAATACCTATAGAGTATTGGAGCTCGACAAATTTTGAAAAATTAGAATTTAAATCATATTGTTTATTGTGTAATGTATTTTTATCTCTGAAGTACACGGCTTTTGACAGTTAATTTACTAAGTTATCAACATTTGACTATACTTGCCATTTATGATGGCGTCTTATTTTATGAAATTGTCAAACATATATTTGTATATCTTTTTCTTCTGTAATATCTTCTTTGCTTGAAAGAAGGAAAGGAACTGAATTTGATCGACATTTCTTCATAGATTTGGAACTGAAATATTGCATTTTTTTTATTTCTAGGAGGAAAATTTTACAGTTTTGTATTCTACATTTTAATTACTTTTGTTATAAAGATGCAATTATACAAATAAAACATGAATGAATTATAAATGGGTGTTAGGATCTGTAACATTGAAAATCAAAAATTTAAAACAAAAATTATTGTAGAACACGTGTTCTGCATATTCTGCACTATTTTTTGTGCATTGTCACAGCTTAAAAATAATCAAATATATTAGGTTCAATGTATAAGAAGCTATGATACTACATATAAATAGAATTTCACTTTCGATATGAATTGGATAAATAGATTTTTTCCAAATATAAATTTCAGTTAACATACACTAATTTAAATTATCTGCAAACCATAATTTGGCGAACCGCAAATCTAGCAGAAAAACAGACCACAGTTACAAGAATCCTATCAAAATCTACGACAATAGGATGTACATTTATTAATTTCAAAATACAATGTTGTACAGGAAATAATGTGACATCTGCAAATGAATGTTAACAATATCTTTTATTACATGACTATAAAAAATCTCTATCTCATTGGTTAAAAATGTAGGGAATCTTTTTTAATAAACGTTATATTCACCGCGGGAAAAGTCCCGAAAAGTTAATATAAGATTTGGGACAGCTGTAATTAGTTTTTTCCTCTGCAACGTCAATAAGGTAGGCTTATTGCGTAATGGATATTCTCGTTTTTCTTAATGTTTATTTAATGTTATTTTTTTTTAAATCTTATTGAATATTTCAACTTCTAAAGGTTAAGCAACTGCCAAAGCAGATAATGTATCAAGTATGACAGGAGCAGTTAAATATCTTGAGCAAATACTAGCAATACTGAAAATGAATAAAAAAAGTTATATAATAAAACAATTGTTGACTTTTAATATCACTTGATACTATCAGATTATTACATGGCATTTTTCATATCAGATGTATTATCAGCCCATGGTTCCATATCAGCCCAAGAGCCGAACATGATTTATCAACCGCATCAAAAGTCCATTATTGTATGATATCGACATATTTTCTAAACTGTGTCTTACATTTAAATTGGGATTAGATATAATAACATATAGAGGATTAAAACAAAATTTAAATATTACACTTGTTGACAAATTGAATGTAGATCTATTGACTTTAAACTAAGTGATTGCGTCGTACATAATGATTATTATTATATGACTAAAATATTTGTCTTTTCTCATTGATTAAAAGCAGACAAATCTTCTTTAATTTGATAAAACCTTATATTCAACGCGGGAAAAATCATGAGAGGTTGATATAAGATTTGAAAAAGCTAACGTGTACCTGAATATAGATATTCCAAAGCAACGTTAATGAGGAAGGTTTATGACGTCATGCACATCCTCGTTTTTCTCTTTTTCTTCTTGTTTTCGGTGAAATTTTTTTCTCTTGTTTTCGATGTATTTTTTAGTAAACTTTATTGAACATTTCAACTTTAAAAAGTGAGCAATTGCAAAAGTAGATTTGAGATATATTTTGTATAAAAACAAGGAGCAGTTTTAAAAGAATCTTGAGCAAATACTTGAAAATTGGAGAAGGATAAAAAGTCATATAATAAAACAATTGTTGACTTTTGATATCAGTTGATACAATGATTTATCAACCAAGGCATAAATCAGTGTATCAACCTCATCGAAAGTCAATAATTATATAATATTTTGAGTAGTAGAAAAACAATATAGATATAAAAATAAGGAGAAGTAGTATGATTGCCAATGAGACAACTATTCACTAAAGTTCAAATGAAGTGGATGTAAGCAATTATAGGCAACTCTGCGGCCTTCAACAATGAGAAAAACCCATACCATATAGTCGGCTATAAAAGGTCCCCATATGAAAAATATGAAAACATACAGTTGAGAAAACTAACGGCTAATTAATAATATTTAGAGTATGTTTCCTATAAATCAGCACGGATAATTGTATACATTTAATTTAGATGCAATACACTTCAGTGTTTGTGTATCTTTTGCAGTTGCATAACCAATATAAATTTGGGTTCTAGACACTCATATGTTGTTTTATAGATTATTTATTCTCTTTATTGTAGTTAATTAAATTTTCCATGATATCTGACTATTCTATATACTAGGATTGGTGTCTAAGCTATAACAGTTGGTTAAATATCGTCTATACATAGATACCGATTCAAAAATTGATCTCGTCCTGTGTTGGAGGCAGTAACAGAAGTTATCGTTTCAATTGGCATCTCTTCACTGGCTTGTAACTGAAACTGAAAGAAATGTATTTTGACGTCCTTTTCAAAATTCATAACTTCTCATACACTTATAATAAAAAAATACTTTCTCATACTAATAGCAGGCAATGAAAGAGAATTGTATTTTGCAAACTATTTAATGAAAATAAAACAAGAACTCAACATCTCCCACACTTGGCCTTTACCATGTTTACATCCCTCTTTCTACTTGTGAAATTCACTGCTTAAATAATAATCCAAACATACTTTTGGCATAAGTATAGAAATAGTAAAGATCAAATAGCAGTTCAAATTCAATCATTTGTAAAGTATGTACCTTCAATGGAAAAATTTTGTTTTTCATCTACCGTCAAACTATAATTAATGGCACCAGGCATCTAAATACACACTAAATTAACAGTAAAAAGTGTATGTAAATTTATCCAAGTGTACCCTGTTTTTAACTATTCATGTAATAAATAACCATTACCTCTGATATAACAAATCAAAACATTTGTTAATCGAAAGTAATCTGACTACTTTAACAATATAAACATAGAGTTAAGTTTGAAGTTAATTGCGCAAGGCAGTCTTGACTTTGTTTGTGACATTTATATATCTGACAAACAAAGTCTAATACTTCTGGAATGACAAGTCGTGATATTTCTCAATCATAAGGGAACTTCTGTAAAGAAGAGGCGAAAGGCATATTCAAACTGATGGCAGGGATAAAACGAAAAATAACCAACAGACAGACAGCAGCAAAACAAACAAATCAAAGAAAACTAATGGCTACATAAGTTGCAACAATAAACGCATGACAACTATTTCATTTATATGAAGTTACCTATCAATTTAATTATGTAATAGTCACAGCTTGAAATATATAGCACCAATGGATTTTTTCCAGAATCGAAAAATGTTCACTTTCGGTGAGTGCCTCCGTCTCTGAAAGAGAGAAAAATCAAATAAAATGAAATGTTAATGCGTACAATACGCGTTTTTGGTATATTCCTCATCAGAAAGACTGACATAAAAAACATCCTTGGTACTATACTTTCTATCAACCTGCTGCTAGTAATAAATCACTTTTATTAACAATGCTGAGGTCTTTCTACTCCAGTCATATTTGACACATTTGTTTTGAGATTTTGTGTACAATGCTCTTCAACTTCGTAATTAATTTCACCTTCCAATTATTTTAAGTCACGCACCACTATTGCATGTATGTAGACGACTTGATGGGGTTATTAGTCTGATATATTTTATGATTTTCACAACAATTGTTTATATAACACTGATGTTATACGTTTTTTTTTCCAAAGGGCATCACCAGACAAGTAGTCAGTGACGAAATGTTATACGTTTGATATGGTTATGTCTGTAAGTTCAATGTTAATAGACATCAGAATCATTAAAAAAAACTGTATAAAAGTTTTTTCAACGTAAAGCATTAACATTATCCATCTGTACACATTTTTTGAATTGTTGGCTGAATGGCTCTTCAGTTTTTAATTAATGTGACTATTAACTGCTTTGATGCGATTGCTACTGATCAGTCATCTTTAGACGAAACGTATGTCTGGTATATAAACTTTTAAGTGTTATCTTCTTTGAGATAACAGTCGTAGGTTTCATTGTATATCTTATTCATTACTTTTTTTTTTAATCATTTTTAGATAATATGGTACAACTAGAAAAAGCAAGGCGATATATTTGAATGAACTCATCATAGAAATTTCATCGATGAAGGAAAGTAATACGTGGCTTGGTTTTATGACACTAGGAACATCGGTAAACTACTGATGGATCTTATTTACCACTGAGATAGTTCTAAAAGAAAAAACTTTTGCAAATATGTTTTAATTCACTTTTCAACAAATTAGAGATTACAAGTTTTTGCTGTTTTACATTTTTTAAATTAAATGAGAAGTAGAAAATGTTAAAGAAAAAATTCTACAATATTTGACAGTTTAAATTCGTTATTGCTACCAGAAAGTAAATGTCAGTTTAAACTTTTAAAGTTGCTGATTCCGAAGATAGCGATTACTTTCCAATGTTCTAGCGGATGGTGAAGATTGTTTGTACAAGATTTCTTTCTCGTTAAACCTCTTAAGTTTCAAAACGTTTTGGCTTTCAGAGACGATTATTGAAAAAAAATCATCCAACCAAATTCAATAATCATCACTGAAACAAATGCTTTCATTTGATCGGAAAAAGTTTTTATTTGGGGTTGGTAGATATTAAGGATTTTCTAGATACATTTTACATACCAAGATTAGTTCATATTGACTAGTTGGTGTCAGCGAGATGATGCACGAGTAAAATTTCTGATAACAGACGGACGAAAGACACAGATTATTAGCAATGGCTATTATGGACCCTTGAACCAAATGATATAAACTAGGAAAGGTTATCTGGTGTCGTATTGTGTACCCGATATCAGTCATTTGGGGCTTCATGTAGGGGTACCTCTTTTTAAATAATTGATTACGTTCATGCATATGAATAACTGATACATGTATTTTGTACACATGTGATATAAAAGTTGTATGCATTGCCTCAAACACATACAATAACAGATGTTAATGCACCTGACAATGCATATACAAAAATATACAATATTGGACAGACATAGCATACATACATTTTTCCAATCCTATACGTTACTTTTTTTTTATTTTATGTAAAATGTCAATTGCAACCTAAAGGTTTATACGTGTAGGCCCGTAAATTAAGCATGACTGAGACCCATTAGAATAAGATGTTCAAATTTTTTTAAATAGTTATCATCTTAAAAATTCCTTTAAAAATATCCAGTTTTTATCATTTTTTCATAGAAATTTTGAATATCGAACCGGCAGTTAGTGGCCGATTTAATATTGAATATCGAATAACGAATAACGAACAGGCCGCTAACGTAACATAGATCTTTATATAAAATGACTTAGCCCATCCCCTTTTACTGACAAGTTAGCTGATTGACTCAAACGCAGTCAGAAAAATACCTAGACTGATTAATATTATGTTTTGTTTAACTTACTTCATACAGCTTATTACTCTTCATAGATGAAGGTGTATGGATCGTCCTTGTTGTACAAAAACATGAGTAACTTTTCAAAAACCAATGTACATACTATTTTTGTAACTTAACACTTGTATAAGCCACGTGGAATTAGCTTGATAAAATGAACATACATGTGACTAAAGGAAAGCGATTAAAAATCTCCCCATATCATGAAGTCTGCCATGTCGGAACTTTTGAAATATTTTTATATTTTTGAAATCTTAAATATGAAAGAAAAATATATCTTAGACTTTGTTGTGTCGTGTCTATTTTTAGAAACAGCCTCATTAGCATAAATGTCTGAAAATCACTAAAATGCTAGTGAAAATGTGTATAGTTTCAACTCAATAAATTCTGATTTTTAACAGTGTTACTAGCCGTTTAAACTTATATTTGCTAAAAATAACCTGGCTAGACAAAAAAAATCATGTCAGGAAAGATTTGTCTCGAACAATTATTCGGTGGCGTGGTATGAAAAAAGATCTGTAGGCCACAATTAATTTTGAAGGAAGTTTGAGTCCATCAATCTCCTAAAATGGCACTTTTTTCATGAAATAAGCATCGGTGAATTGACCAATGGATATTGTCAAAAATATCAAAAATCCAATTTTGGTAAATTTTTGCAAGATGTTAAAATTTGCATCTAACTTTCCTATATTTTGATAAATTTCTGAATTATTCAAATTCTAATTAAAACCCATTTACCCATAGCTATGAATTAACTTAAGTTATGCCTTAATTACATAAAATTACTGCATGACACATTTTACATACATAGTGTCATTGTTTTTATGTATTATCGCCAAAAAATCTCTGGAATAGAAAAAAAACAAGTCACAGGTGCTCTATGAGTAATCTCCCCTCATTTACACTCTTCGATGTGAAAACATAATGTTACCATAAGTTGTCTGACTTGGAAAGTGAGAACAAGAAATGTGACGTCCATATTTACTGGTATTTCTTGTGGAAAATAACCAAATTATGAAAATGACACTCACAATACCTATTTATTTCACAGTGATAAGAACACACATATTCATTTGATTGAACTGCAGTGTCTGGAAAGAAGTCAAAGTGAACCCATACAAGTCATACCGCACTGGATTTTTAAAAATTGATTCTAGATTGATTCAGTTTAACATATGCCAGCAGCACAGAGACTATTTTTGGAATATATTGGAGAGGAATCTGAAGTGAACTGAAATGTTGCTACCTAGAACATCCAGCTTCAAGCAAGGCAACAGAAGACAGAGGTGCCTCTCCGGGAGTCTGCAAGGCCTACAGGCTAGTTGGAGACAAGAGAGGTCATCAACATAGAAACAGGTAAGAATACACCCTCTCTCCATACACATACACGTAGATAGATTCATGAGGACCATTTGATTTTTTAAGGGAATAGGGGGGATGTGGATTTCCTTGTACGATTTTTGGATAAAATATTAAAATTGTAATGTGTTTCTGGTAATTTTTTCATTTTTGCCATAGGATGATTTAAATTAGATATTTTCATGTAAGGGGAAATTAGCTAAAATCTGAGGGAAAGAAATTCTCTATTTTCTAAACCATCTGCAACAAATAGTTTATTTTTAACAAAATTATGGTAAAAAATTTCTTCAAAACATTTTCCTAAAAGACTTTAAGAAAAAGACTGGTATTTTTCAAGGGTGTGTATTTTTCAGAAAGTGAAATTCATTTACTCTATCAAACGAGCCTTCACACCTAACATTTCGATGTAATTGCATTACAGAATGATTTAGAAAAAGCAATAAAGTCCTGCATAATTGACCAGTAAATGTTTTCACTCTTTTCTATTACGGTTCCTATTTCTTGACAATATTTCTGCATATTAAAGAAATCCCACACCTTTATATTTCTTGACAAGTATTCACTGTTCTGACTAGTTTTTCTAATTAATACAATCATTTTATATGCATATGAAAATGTATTTTGAGAACCCTTTCCCGTAAAATAAAATTGCCACAATTTGGTCACACATTCATTGAGTGTTTAATTTAGTTATTTACAAAAACAAAAACCTCAGAATATCATAGTTTGTAATATAAAAGTATGGGTTCAAAAAAACATCTTTGAAATCAATTGCCCCCTCAGACAACATTTCACCGTTGGCTTATATTCATGTTTCTCCTTTGAGTCAATATATTCTCTTTAAATACGTTTTTATAATTTTAATGGGGGCAAATTGCATTGTTCATATTAGTACTAATATAATCCATATAGAGATATATTTGTATTTTACATTTTTCTATTTTTTTAATTTTCAATATATAGGTTTTAATTTTTCCCCTCATTGTTTCTTTGTGCGAGTTTTATACTACATATATATCGTGTGTACGAAGTATCTAGGACCAGTCTCGCATCACAATGATCTGTAAAAATCTACTTATTTCAAGAGTTCTATGATCATGGTGATTTTGATTTCATTTTCAACACAATATGAGGGTGTGGATCAGGGTTTCCAGAATGAAGAATATTGGGCAAAAAATATAAAGAATAGAGAAAAATGGCCCCAAAAATTAAAGAATAGAGAATAAAGAGGTGCTAACATATAAAGAATAGAGAATAATAGTCAACAAGTATAAATGAATACAAAAAATAAGGACACCCTACCCCCTCCCCCTCCCCAATCCAGACCCTCCAATATTAACTAAGATTTGTTACCCTCTTTCTCCTACTTTGTGCCAACATTTTAGAAACATCAACTGATAAAGGGAGAAAACTTTTATCCGGGTAGGATTTCATACCCATCAATGAAAGTATTCATTGCTTTGGTGGACCAAATTCTTGATGATTTTTGTCTTTGATCATTTTCAGGTCCAGGTCAGTACTGTGACATTGGCTAAATGAAATTTACCAGCATACGTATGTGTTA